CTATTTTTATTTTCAAAAGAGTTTGTTATTGAGGCCTTAGGAATTCGTATCTCGCTACTCCTGTTTTCTTGTCCAAGGAATAACTTCACATTTTGGGTGGTGTAACCATAGAACCTATAGAATATTCTCTTATGTTTTCTAATTGAATATACCATCCTCCTGCTCTACTGTAAAAGATTTTTAAAACGCCGTTCATATTTAAGCGAAGTAAGACCAGTCACAATTTGGATGGGTGACTTAGCTCTCGGAGCCGAATAAATAAGAATACATAGAGCATCCAAATAGTGGCACAATAATCCCATGAGGCTGCGATGCCGCCATGCTTGAATCCAAGGAGATGGGAGGCAGGTTTTAATACAAGCCTGATTGAGCTCTTCAGGAGATATGTCTGAACGGGTGAGAAAAAATAACAACATCGTTTTTACAAACCAAAATACTATTAAGTTTATATCACCGTATAGATAATATTTTTATCGACGCCCGAATTCAAATTACGCTCTGTGTCGAGCACAATTTTAAATCGCAATCCTTTTATATGGGTAAAAAGGTAGATTTTTTGTTTGCCTTAAAATTAACCACGAAAAAAATATGCCGTGGAGTGGCACAAAAAATTCATATCGATTGAGTTATTTACGAACTCTATGATTGAAACGATTTCTTCTTTCATATTTTTTGCTGTAAAAAAATTTGTTTTTGAGGGAAATTTTCGTGAAACAGACCCTCACAATGATTTGTTGCAAGTTATTATCTTATAATAGTTATTGATTTTTTTAATAAAACAATACCTGTGATTAAAACAAAAATATGTTCATGGAAATGTGTATCGAATTTTTACATTATATATGTAAAACTATAGTATAAAATAAGATTGTATCAGTAAAGATCGAGGTAAAAAAATATAAGCTAAATATTTCTCTCTGAAAAACAAAATGGCGATGTTGGCAACCCTACATTATTATTTACACCTTTAAAAAATATTATACTTAAATACTTTCTATATAAAATGGCCTTTTTTTTCCCAGTAAATTCTGCAGTAAACTTCGCCTCTAAAATATTTAAAATGGCAACTTACAAATTTGCGCCATGTGAGCTTCCAACAAAAACAATCTAACAAAACTTCAAAGAACATTAAAATGCCCATATACGGGTACAACACAATTAAAAAAAAAACGATTAAAATGCATGTAAATTACAAACTAATTTCAATTTAATTTTCATAGTCAATAGTGAATTGTAATTAAGGCCTGTTGGCAGTTTTATCTCATAATATTTTTAAAGGAGAAATTAAGAAAAAATTAACACAATAAAGATTGATTTTTATTTTAAGTGTACCTTTCTATCATATATTCAACTATTATACGTCATTCCGTACCCCTCAGTCACTCTAATCAATACAATTTAAATTTAAAAAATCCAAACTCCCCCTGTGAAACAACTATGGTTAGTCATCGTCAATCGACGTAAACCACTGACTTCTAAAAGTTGGTCCAGAATTTACCGAAAGCACCGTATCAGTTTAATAAATGGCGAAGGCATCGCTGTCATAGCAAGTTCTGGTGAATGCGCGAACAATTCGAGAAACCCCACGTTTTCTGTTATAGGGAGATCAAGTCAAGAGATCGTTCATTACACATAAACCTTGTCCATATAAATTAGTGTGTAAGTAAATGTCCATATAAATAGTATTTGAGTATAAATAAATTAGTATATTAGTGTAAAAAAATTTAATAAATAATCTGTTTAAATAAACGTTACAGTAATTTAATTCGTAGCATATATTTGTTATTTTGCTTGATTGCAATTAAAGTTTATATTTCTTAACTTTAAAGCTTTGCAAGATTTTTCAATTGTTTAAGTTCATGTTTTATTCAATTATGTTTTGTTATGTTAGGTATTACTAAAATTACTAATAAAAATTTACTTTAAAATGAAGTGTCACGATGCGTAACAAATTTTTATCTAGCTATAGTGCGCTACAATCAAAAACATCGCAATGATTATTCAGTTATATTGCTGAATTCCTCGTAAAATTGCTTTTTCAATGATGTGTCATACTTGGTGCTTCCTTATTTATTAGTTAGAATTATGGAGGGGAAGGGAATGGCATATGACAGTTAAGAAATGATAAAAAGGTGTCCCTGTGAGACGGCTATGGTTAGTCATCGTCAGTCGTCGTGAACCATTGACTTCTAAAAGTTGGGGGATACAAGATCTGGAATAGTCTAGAATTTACCGAAAGCACCGAAAGAGAACGCATCAGTCTAATAAATGGCGAAGGCATCTGTCGTATCATGTTCTGGTGAAAGCGCGAACAATTCTAGAAACCCCACGTTTTCTGTTATAGGGAGATCAAGTTAAGAGATCTTTCGTTACACATAAACCTTGTCCATATAAATTAGTGTGTAAGTAAATGTCCATATAAATAGTATTTGAGTATTAAAAAATTAGTATCTTATCTAATATATCATCTTTGCAACGCCAACGTACCGCTGAGACGTGGCGTCGAGAAGATACCGAGCGGTGCTATTTTTGCAGTCGCGTTAACGACATTCTACGACATTGACGTAACGTCGACGTTGCATCATGTGAACCCTCCGACTTAATTGACTGTATTTCCACCCCGCCGTATAAATGCTGTTGCATCGACGCGACTGCAACAAACGTTCGTGAGCACTGGCCCTTAAAATAATAATAAAAATAATGTTTATTTAGCTTTTTAGACAATCATATCATATCAAACAGTTTTATAGCATATATATTATAAATAAACAATTAAGATCGATCTAGGTCCATTGAAACTAACATAGGCTGTGCATGGACCCCCATTTGTATATTACACTTAAGACGCATTAATAATTATTATTCTAAGATTGTACATTAAATAATATTTATTGTAATAAATGCATTAAAAAAGAAAAATATATTAAGGAAAAGAAAAAAACAATAACAACGATAATATAGAATTATTCAACATATTGTTGGGAGGGGGGAGCAGCGAAGAAAATAATTTTTTTAGATGTTATTGAATGTATTTTTTATCATATTTGCAGAGTTTATTTTGTCTAGATATATTTTATAAGCTTCAGGCAGATCATTATAAATTTTCCGTGATTGCATGATGCGTCTTTTATGTCGTTAAGATATGAAAATATTTGGTCCATCTACATTGGCCAGGTGTAACAACGGATTAACCAGAGGAAATTTTGCATCGTGGGACAAGATTGATTTTTTCGTTAAACCTTAGGGACATTTCTCTGAATATGCAGGACCTAGTTAAAAATGTATGTATAGATTTTGCATTTTCATGCATGCAATAGTTAAAATAATGATGAATATTATTTTATTGTCGTACTTTGTTTTGTATTTAGGACCCACTTTCAGTTATATATCCGCATTTCTAATACCCCGCGTGCATCTTTATATTGTACATTTTTCTTTTAGTTTCTATATATAAAGATTTTTAAAGATTAGATTAAATCGCCAAGGTGCGAATTTTTGATTTTTGTTAATTTTTTAAGGTTCCGGACCTCCGAGGTTGCAAATTTACCAGATTGATTAGAAAAATAATATTAACATTTGTAACCAATTTTTAAAACTTTTGCATTTTTTTTTTGACAAAATTAAAGAAAAATAAAAAATTATTTTGATTTTTTTTTTCAAAAAAATATTTCCGTTCAAAATAAAAGGTTGCAAATTGAAATAACTGTTGCAGAAACTTGTATGAGATATGTCATCGGTTTGCAGCACTTTTGAATTTTTTTATCTATGATGTAAACGAAAACGCTATTTTACAAAAAAAAGTATGTTCCGGACTTTCAAAAAAGTTGCAAATCTGATATAACGTTGAAAATATATATTGCTTCAAGTTTGCAGCACTTTTGTAATTTTTTTTAGAAAGTTATAATACATTTTAATTTTTTGTAATTATTAATATGTTCCAGAGCTCAAAAAGAGTTGCAGAATTAAATTTACAAATATTTCAATTTATTAAATATTCCAATACAAAGTTTAAAAACTTTTATAATTAATGGGAATTTAATATCTCTAATGACTGGTCTATAAATTAAAACCAAATTTAAAACTGCACTGTTGATTAGAGATCATAACAATATATGTATGAGATTCTACTGGACTTCTTGACCCCTTACATTTTGAATTCTTGGGTTATATTTTGCACATCAAATGTTTCTCACTCGAAAACAAAATTTAATTGCCCGGTTTACATATACATCAAAAGTAATTCCATTTATTTTAGTTATTTCACATGGTATTAAAGGATACAATTTGTGTCACGTGAAATTGTATAAATCAATCTGACATTGCTTGTAATGCTTTTTTTAATTATTCTTCCAATAAATTCTATCACAGTTCAAAATGCTAAATATTTTTTCATATTTGAAAATAATCATTCATCATTATTTTTTGGTTGAAATATTTTTTTAAAAATGTGGATTTACTCAAAGAGTACTTTTGTTGATTAGAATGACTTGTGTATATTATTGTAAACAGAACAAAAAATGTATTATGAAGGCAAAAACATAGAGCAGACATGTCAACCAGCAAACCAATGAAAAAAACAATCCCACTTTAAAACCCGTTAAAAAAAATTTTATAAAGAAAACAGTCATGATATGATTAGTCAGTAGTTAATACTTCTAATAATCTCACAAATTCTGCAAGTGTAATTTTTTTCTGCTAGTTAAATGTTGGAATAAACACACTCGTAAGAACTTCTTCAAATTGCGCCATGTGAGTTTTCAATAAAATTAACCCAAAGAAAAACTCAGAAGAACATTCCAATTCAATATTACAATACAAAATTTCAAAAGAAATTTTAAAAATATACGTGCCATGAAACTTTGAAAAGTTTCCCAAAAGTTTTTGCGTTGTCAACAAATGTATTAAAAAAAAACTACGAGTAACTAAGTGCTAAATTAAGTGAATAACTAAAGACTACTAAGTGCATTTACATCTCGAACTAAGTTCAGTTTAATTCATACCTAATAGCGAAGACACCGAGGATGATGGCATCGCAGATATGATCGCGACTACGAAAAACAACACATTTCCACGTGTTTCCTCCATAGAGCTGTACATTTGTCTTCTGCAGCATGTCGACTGACGGCACGATAGTCGCGTCTTGGCGCCGGTGTTTGGTTCCGGAACGTTGACTGGAGTGCGCAGGCTTTAAATTTTGATTTCTTAAAAGGATAGGTTACACTCTTATTAATTTACTATGATAGAACGCAGCCTGAACGCAAATTTTGTGCTTGGCTGCATACCAAACGTTCCTAGTAATATATTTTCTTCCTTTTTACGATATTTAGTGTTCCTAATTCTTATATATAGCTCTTTGAGGTTTGCCCGCGTCTCTGCTTTTTAAAGTCGTTAAAAACCGAAAGATCCCGCACATCGCTTATGGCAAATTGGCATAGAGTCAATTTCTTTCAATTTTTGATGGTTGATGGATTTATTTCCATACCAAACATATTAAATATATGCACTATTTTTTCCTTATAGACTAAGAGCCAGCGATTGCCAGACATACGAGGGTTTCGCAGGTAACAGATACTCAAGGTATCGCCAATATTTTTCAGACCAAAATAACGCTCAGTTTCTCAGAAAAAATATATTTGCTAAACAGAATACCAATAATTTGCATAAAATTGAAAAATCCTATAAATAATCCTATCACGTTACAATAACTTAATTTCTCACTAATTGTCCACAAAGACTCCAGTTCGGCCCCAGATAACTTCCATAGTTTATTTTTGAAACATCTTCCAGACTCTATCAAAACATTTTAAATAAATTATTTATTAAAATATGGTTGCAATATATTTGGCCAACAATCTAGTTAAACTATAGTTATCATACAGACCGACCTCACTTACTTGCGTAATGTGAAAATTAATTGAAAAAAATTGTAAATTGCAGAATATTATGGTTTTTAGAACCTTCAGCGCTTATAATTGCAAGATGACTTCAGATAAAATCGTTCTACTATAGACAATATCCTAGATTTACTAAGAGATGTACCAAACAAAAATGCTCTCTGTATTTTTAGATCTAGAACGAGCTTTCAGTTCAACCTGGAAATACAATATTTTGAACCAGCTAAATAAATTGAACATCAAAAAGCACTGCTTAGCTTTTGTACATAATTTTCTCAACAACAGATCTATTTAAGGAAATATTTAAGAACTCATACTCTAGCTCCAAATACTACAAAACGGTATGCTCCAAGGATCGATTTTAATATTTACATTGTTCATAATAGACCTAAATGACATTAAATTTTATAATATAAAACAAACTTCAAAAGGCTAGAAATTATTCAAAAAACTTTTCTTAAAACTAGAATGAAGTTATATAATGCTTGGCATTCTATATTATAGTCTTCACAGTTTAACAGACCACCCCTTTAACCCCCATTTTCAATCATATTTTTTTCAGACTCAATAGGATTCATCCCCCTATAAAGCTTATTTTTTCCTGAAAATTTCAATTTGATATCGTTTTCTGTTTCAGAGATAGTATTTTTTTAAATATTTTAACCTCCTTATCTTACCATTTTTATTTATTTATTTATTAATTCCCTTGTAGAGCTTGATTTTTACTTAACATTTTATGTTGATCTCATTTTTGGTTTTTAATTTCAACCCCCCTTAAACCACCCATTTTTTTAAAAATCAATAGGTTTTCTTCCCCTATAAAGCTTGATTTTCACAAAAAATTTGATGTTGGTATCGCTTTTCGTTTTTGATATAATTATTTTTAATTTCATCCCCCCTAACCCCCCATTTTTATCAAATTTTTTTCAAAATCAAAGAAATTCTTCCCTTGATAGAGCTTGATTTTTGTTAAAAATTTCAAGTTAATATAAATTTTTGTTTTTGAATTAGGATTTTTTTTAATATTTTAACCCCTCTTTGCCCCCAATTTCAGAATAAATAGGCTTCATCTTCTTATAGAGCTTGATTTTTACTAAAAATTTCATGTTAATATTGTTTTTCGTTTTTGGATTATGACATTTTTTTAAATTTCATCCCTCCCTTAAACCACTGTTTTTTAATCAGATATTTTTTCAAAATCAATAGGCTTTGTTCCCTTATAAAGCTTGATTTTTGCGGATAAAAAACGTGGCATCGGAAGGAGGGACAAAGTAAACCTATAATATTCTTCACAAACTACTGTGTGAAGAGTATAATAATGAGTGATACAAATTTACCCAACTTTTCATTGATTAATAAAGATACAACAAAACTCTCTTTAAATTCTTCAAATGTCTAAATATACATAAATCAAAATATTCTAGCAAAGATTACAAGAGTAAATGGTTCTTTGTTTTATTTTTGTTTAAATAAACGTGCTAATCTTTTCCAAATTTAATTTTAATGAAAACAAGTTTTTTCTACACCTTGTATTTTTGACATTAGATAATTACAATGTTACATCTTGCAACAAAAAAAGTAAAAACTCTCTACTACTGATAAAACACTCATATAACACGCGATATAAAAACAAAGCCTCTATAGCGAAAATGAAAGCTTATAAAAAATTAGGCCACCGATCTTTTAGTTATAGCATCTCGAGTGTATATGTTATTACCAGAGAACAAATAAAAAAACACATTTTTCAAAAAGGAAGTGAAGAAATTGATGATAACACTTCCCAAATCAGAAATTGAAAAAATAATTGAAATATATAAAAAATAATAATTAATTAAATTGTCTCACATTATTTATGTCTTAGCTAACATATAATATTTATAAAAATTACATAAAGAAAAACGTAAAATAGGATTTTAAATAAAATGTAAAAAAATGTAAAATAATGTAAAAAAATGTAAAAAAATGTAAAAAAATGTAAAAAAATGTAAAAAAATGTAAAAAAAATGTAAAAAAATGTAAAAAAATGTAAAAAAAATGTAAAAAAATGTAAAAAAATGTTAAAAAATGTTAAAAAATGTTAAAAAATGTTAAAAAATGTTAAAAAATGTTAAAAAATGTTAAAAAATGTTAAAAAATGTTAAAAAATGTTAAAAAATGTTAAAAAATGTTAAAAATTTTTAAAAATTTTTAAAAAATGTTAAAAAATGTTAAAAAATGTTAAAAAATGTTAAAAAATGTTAAAAAATGTTAAAAAATGTTAAAAAATGTTAAAAAATGTTAAAAAATGTTAAAAAATGTTAAAAAATGTTAAAAAATGTTAAAAAATGTTAAAAAATGTTAAAAAATGTTAAAAAATGTTAAAAAATGTTAAAAAATGTTAAAAAATGTTAAAAAATGTTAAAAAATGTTAAAAAAATGTTAAAAAATGTTAAAAAATGTAAAAAAACTATTTTCTCAGTAAAAAAATGTTAAACATTAGGTCCCCTTCTATGTATATACTTTTTTATTTTTTTTCTTTCTTACTTTTAGTTATCTTATCTATCTAGTTTTTGTTTTGTTTTAGGGCTTTAGTTTGAAATTTTAAAAATGTAACTCAGACCCAAATCTCCCTGAGAGCTTTGTGAGGGTGCTCTGTTTATTTTATTGCATCTATTTAAATAAATCTATTATACATTTCTAAATATAATTATTAACATAAATATACTAAATAAAAGTGGTCTCAGATTGGAGTCTGTGGAACTCCAGATGCTGTTGTGAAGGGTGAGGATAAAGATGAAAATAATCTCAGTAGCGACGGATAAAATTCCATGGTTCCCAACTCTTTATATAATATTATGATCTATTCGAGCAAAAGCCTTTGAAAAGTATATGTACATTGATTGACTTCTTTGAAACAATCAATTTCCTGTTTTTAAAACAATGTTGATTAATAAAGATAAGTGGTTATATACGGACGTCCCAAAAATTGGGCAAAAATTGGACAAGATGGAAATTCGTCGTTCGGTTTCGACATTATAATTCTTTTCCAATTTTAAAATAGGAGAAACTTTCTGGAAATGAAGATTGTTAAAGAATATTGGTAAAAATAATTGTTAATGGATTAGCCATTACGTAAGAACAATCTTTTAATAGAAAACTATAGATTTGGTCCGAACCTGCTGTCATTTTGCTTTTCTTTCTCCGATGAGTTAATAATAGCTCATTTTCTGCAAATTAAGGTAAGAATAAGGACTGTTAAAAATCTATATTTAGGTAATTAGATACGATAGGTCCATTAATAATGCGTGATTTCGAAGCATCCTAAAACATTACACTCTGAAATCCCTGTATTTGGAATACTTTTTGCCATTATTATTTTATTAACATGAATTTATAAATAGAATTATTAATATTGTTATAATTTTAATTATGAACCGTGATAATTACATAGCACGAAAATATTTTTAAAACACAAAATAAATTTTGCTTTTCAAAATAATATATATTTCATATAATGAAATTATCTTCACAGATTATTGAAATTTAATTAATTACTTGCAATGCACTTTATACAGGACGGTCATTAAGTATGTGGCCAGACTTTAAGGTAATATTCTTTAATGATTTAAAACACAGGGTGATAAAAAGTAAAAAAAAACTTTTTCTTAAATAAATAAAAGATCAAAACAAAAGTTAAAACTTGATGGAAATTTTTATTGCATAAGGAGGAGCCTCTGTAAAAGTTATTCTCAATGTATTAATGGCGTGCGCAGTTGTAACTGATCAGACTTAATTTAAAACTGAAATACAATGTTTATGTAAACTTTTCGTCTTAAAATTGAGTAAGGAATAGCATCTTAAAGTTAGGCACATATTAAATGATCACTCTGTATACCTACCTACAAATAATTATTGCATCTAATTATTTGAACTTACTGAAAAGTTTTTAAAAAGGTCCTCTTGTAATTATAACATGCATTATCTATGCCATGTAATCCATCTTCAACTACCTGGCTTGTTATAACTTACGAAGTATTGATCATTAGGTTGTGTAACAAAGTTTATTTGTTTTCATTAGTTCGGATAAACCAATCACTAGTTAGCGCACCTGAACTTGAGATATCGTCTGAAATATTCAAGATAGCTGTAAGAGGAAAACGTATTATTTTTTTTATGAGATAAAAGCTTCTATCTAAATTTTATTTTGTTGGGATAATTATTGTAACAGTCTAATAAATGCTGAAACATCCTGTATTTTTCAATTTGATCCGTCAGTAAATGCGGATATGTTAGATTATGTTCCATAATGTTTTTATACAAGGTGCAACATTTTGAAGTTACAAATTGAAAATAGGAGTTTCCAATAACTCAAAAACTGTTAAACAATGCTATTCTTGAAT